AATAAAGGACTTTGTATATGGTGTTGTGTGTTTTATTTACAATTGTACTATTTGGTGAATGAGTAGGGGTAGCAACTACGCCTTACTCATTCACGAGGGGGGCGGCATCTGGGGGGCACCAAGATTCAGATAAGCCCCCCGCCCGCAGACCCCAACAACCACCGGGCCACAGTTGTGGGGTAGAGGCCCTTCTTTTAATTGACATGGGGATGAGGTGCTTTTCCAGGGGGTCTGCGGCCAGGCGGCAAGTGGTTTGGTGTGATGCAGGAGGGCGGGGGCACATGCTTGTCCCTCCCCCCCTTTTCTACTCTGCCAGGCTGCTGCTCAAATCAAGGGTCTGGTAAGGGATTTGGGGGGGGGGGGCCCAGGCATTTTTTTTATTTTTAGGCTTTGGGGTCTCCCCTAGAATTTCTACCAGACCTACAGGGTCCATGTTTTTTTTTCTTCTATATTTTAACTAGGCATGTACTGATACTAGTATCGGTGGTGATACCGAGTATTTGGGTGAGTACTTGTACTCACCCAAATGCACTGATACTTACCCCCGATACCACAACTTCCAGTCGGAGGGAGATTTCCTCTGACCGGCAGTTCCGGAAGAACATGGAGCCGGCCTTCTGGCCAGTCAGGAAGCTAGGCAGCGGGTAAGGACTTGCTGACCGGCTTCCTGATTGGCCGGGAAGCCGGCTTCATGTTGTTTGGGCAGCTTGATGCTGATTGGCTGGGAAGCCAACTTCCCAGTCAATCCGCATTAAGCTGCCCAAACATCATGGAGCTGGCTTCCTGGCCAATTAGGATGCTGGGTGGTGGGTAATTACCTGATTGGCCTGAAGCCCACTTGATGATGATTGCCTGAGTCGGCTTCCTGGCCAATCCGCATCGAGCCGGCCAAACAGCATGGAGCTGGCTTATGGGTAATGACACGCCGCCCAGCCTGCTGATTGCCTGAGAAGCCAGCTTCATGCTAGTTGAAGTACCAGTATCCGTACTCGAATGGATAAATATCAGTACTCGATACCGAAAAACTGGTATTGGTGCATCCCTAATTTTAACGTTTAACAACATAAATTCATTTAGAATGACATTCTAGAAACATTTCGGATGCATCCAAATCTCGTTTTCGGAAAATTCGGATACAATTGGATTTGGCATTTCTTTCATTCAGAAATTCAGACATTCGCATGCATCGGAATTTCCAAATGAAAGAAATACTGACTCAGAAAACAAAATTCAAAAGCATCGGACATTTTTTCTGAATTTTGGACACATTTTTGGAAGTTCAGACATTCACTTGCATCTGAACTTCCAAACTAAAGAAATAATTTCCAATTTGAAAATTTGAAAATAAATTAATCGCATGCCTAGAACAAATACGTTGTTGAGGCTCTGTGTTGGAGCTTTAAGAAAGCAGAGTTTAAGACTTTCCTACTAGGTAAAAAAAAGGGGGCAAAATGAGAATTGCAACAAGTTCTGGATAACCCTTCCCATTTTTTTATTCAGCTTTTATTGGGTTTTGAAGCATAAATCAGGCCAAACATATACACAGTAACGAAAAAAGAGAACCAAACTAAATGTATAGAAAATATAGGTTTCAAAACAGACATCCAGTAGGGAGGGACAAAATGAGCGGAGACAAATTGTGGGGGGGGGGGGAGAGACTAAGATGAAAGCTAGCTCTGGTCATGGAAACAAAAAGATATGATTTACAAGATGTTCAATGGCGACAGCAACATTGGCAACAAACTGTTTGAGATTAACTCCATTACAAAGACTAGAGGCTACCACCTAAAGTTGGTGGAGAAAAAATTCCAGCACAATGGGCAAAGAGGGTTCTTTACAGTAAGAGCGGTTAAGGTCTGGAACTCACTGCCATCGGCAGTGATTTCAGCCAAGAGTGTAGATTTGTTCAAGAAACGTTTGGACAATTTCTTGAGGGACCGTAATATCCAGGGATACCAGTATCCCTAAGAATGAGATGATGTGTGGACCTATATGGGTTGGACTTGATGGACGTATGTCTTTATTCAACCCCAAATACTATGTAACTATGATTTAAATACCGTTCATAAGATATATTTGCTCCCTATTGGAGAAACAAAAGACAGCAAACAAGAAATATTGTTATATCATTATCAGGGGAAAACTCTGAAACATTTGAAAGAAACGTCTCTCTAGAATAGCACATTAAAGGGATCCAGCGTGGCACTTGAAGTCATATCTGACTTCACAAGGTAAGGGGGAAAAAGCCTAGTGGGATATGTTAGAGGTCAGTGGGAACAAGGTGTGGGAAAAAATAGTCTTTGCCTCATGTGGGACTTGAGGGAGCAGTTGGGACATTTGGGCAATCCATTCAGGAGGCTATACTTTTAAAAGTCCAACTCCAGGTTTTTTCGGTCCATCATAGGTTGTTTTTCGGTCCATCATGGGGAGTACAACCCCGGAGAGGACCAGTCCTGGATCACAGAGCAGTAAGTCTGCAGGAAAGGTCACCAAAGGGAATGCAAGTATTGCAGTGAAAGCTGTTGTTATATTTAATAAAGATGCAGAGCTACTTTTTCAAGTTTGGCTTTAAGCTTAAGCCCCAGTAAGATCAATTGCTTTAATTGCTCATTCAACTACATGAGAACTGTGTCAGGTGGGCTGAAACCTAGTCAAAGTGTAAGATGTTGTGTAATGGGCAAATATAGATGTAGGGCAGACTGCTACAGAATGATTTCCACAATACCAAGACACCACAAAAAGGAAAATTTAGAAAATGAAACGAAACAATCATATTTTTTGTGATGGAAACGGACAGTGGAGAAATAAACTTTACCACTTCCATTCAGCAATTTCTGTGGTAAGTGCATGTATAAATACCAATTCATTTTTTTAATGGTTCCAATGTGGTTATTGTTGCATGCTAGTGGAGAGGGATAGTATCCCTTACACCAACAGAATACAAGTCCTAAGAGGGTGTTCACAACATATACTGAATATGTATTTAGCCTTATTTATGTAGCCTTTAGTCATGTAAACACATAACACATAACTCTTCTGTTCCTCTTGTGTTAAGCTTTGATAGCATATGCATCTACATATGATATGCTAAAAACACAAAATTACTGTTTATTCATCCTATTGGTTAGGGAGAAGCAATCACTCACAGGCTGTTATTAGAATAATGTTTATGTAGGAGAGATCTAATCACTTAGTGTTTCAAAAAGCTAACTTTAGATAAATACCATTGGTTGAAAATAGCACTAGCGCATTAATGATTAGAATCAATCTCTCATGTGTTGAGTCCTGTCAACAATATTCTAGTTACATATATACAATGCATAATAAAAAATCATTAAAATGCATGCAATTAAAGTTAAAAGTTTGTTTAACCAGGGAACACATATGAGACTTACAAACCACTTATGACAAGTGCACCTTATCTTGCAGTGCAATACCATCAGGAACATTGCACTTAACCAACAAATGTCTGTGTATTACAAACTATGCATCAGTGCTATTTCGAATTTTGCCTTTGTTTCAGAGTGGAGACGGATATGATCATCTTTCTGCTGAGGAGCGTGAATGTTTGATGTTTCTTGAAGAAACCATAGGGTCCTTAGACAATGAGGATGACAGTGGATTATCAAATGATGAATTGGAAACCACCAAAGGGGACAGCCTTCTGGTTTCAGAACCAGTGAAGATTCCTTTTTCTGATAGTAAGTGTCTGAAATTCCTTTTAGAGGATTTAGAGTTTGTGCTGTATTTCCTTTATTCTCTTATCACTGTTCAGTTTTCTGTTAAAGAGGAACTTTACCCATAGCTTTGCAATGACAACAAAGACACCTTTGGAAATGCTCAGTAATGACCATCTACAAACCGATACTTCAATTAATTGCCGTCTTTGCATACCTTATTTTTGTCTTCCTCCCCAGTCTTCTTATAGTGGCCATTTTTATTAAGGGCAGATTAATATCTCTCCCTTTACTTCCTGGAACTCTGGCACATGTGAATAGGACATGTGACTAGGACATGTGACCATGCACATCATCTCAAAATGCCTTTCCCTTAGATCTCATGAGATTACAGATGAGATTTCCCAGCAATGCTCTGCTGATATAACCATCCCAGGATGCAATGCTTGGGCACAATTACATTGCTTGTGCCCAGGAGGACCAGGAAGTAGAAAAAATAATGTAAGTAAAACAAAAATATGTTTAACTAATGAATGCAAGATTATATCATATTAGCATGCAGAGCTGCATCATGATGTGAGTTTTAGTCAAAGGTGGTAAAGATCCACTTTAAATGTATGCACAGTTAGGATTTTGAACAAACAAAATTGATTTCAGAATGTTTGTTTGACTTTCTAATCGTTGATGGGGTCAAATCGATCATAATTTCACCCGAAATGATGAAAATGGAGCTTGTTGGGAAAATTTCTCGATTGAACAGAATTCTAAGTTTTTGTTTGGGGAAACTCCATTTATTTCTAAATGAAATGTTAAATGAAAATCAAACAAAAATTTGAACAAACGCCAAGTCTCTGATGGCATTATCAAAGGTTTCAATGGGATTTTTTTGAATGTTCATTTGAAAATATACTCCTTATATACTCTACTTTTGGAATTTCAATTTATAGAAAAAGGAAAATAACAAAACATCATGGACAATGATAAAACAAAGGGGCATATTTTTATAAACTAGTAAATGTGACATTCCCCAAGCATTCAGTGCAGGTGAATCTTCCAGGTGCATGTGTTTTTAAATGACTGTGATTCATTTAACTGCTATCAATGTTTACTCTATAAATACACCCTAAATATTTATATTTGCCTAACACATGGTAAGGTTTAAAATGAAAGTGTATTTTGTATAGGTTTTCAATATTTATTATGCTCGGGGATAATAATTACTTTGTAATAAAAAAAAAACAAAAACAAAACCTGCATACCCAGGTAAATGATCAGAGCAGTGACTTGTCCTCCTATCTCCCTCCCTCCTTATTACTCGCTACCAGGTTTCAATCCAAATGTAAATTTATGTAGTGGGGAACGTTGTGTCATATGTTGCAGTTTGTACAATTCTATTTTAATAGCCAGAAAAAACAAGGCAAGGGCACAAGTAAATTTAGGCAGTTTTAACCCCCGTAATTTTACGATGGACGGACGGCGGATCCTTCCCGGCGGGGTCACTTAAATGTACGTCTTTTTTTCTCCTGCTTGTGTGCGCCCCCGAGCAGAAACCCGCCGGGAAGGATAACAGCCGTTACGGGCTGTCTCATACAAGCGTTCCGCCGGCTCTATAGCAGGCCGCGCTGCTGAGAGCGCTGCAGCCGGGACAGATCCCGACAATGCTGTCAAGATCCACCCCGCTGGCTTATTGACAGCAGGCTCTGCCTATCTAGAAGCAGAGCCAGCAATGCTGGCCCCGTCCGTTCCTCCAGTCAACGCTGGAGGATCAGGGATCAGAGGGGGGAATCCCTATGGGGAGTGGTGACTGACAGTCACTGCTCTCTGCATGGAGATGTTCGGGAAGTGAGGTGAGCAGCAGTATGTTTTCACTCACTTCCCGATCAATAGAGCCAACTTGTGACTCTTTCAATATCACACATCCACTCTAACTATGAGGATGAGTGTAATTCATAGTTCTCCTTTTAAGATTGAGTTAAGAATCTGACAGATTAACAGGTTTAATTTTGTACTCACAAGGTCTTTAAAGATGAACTCTGGGTAGAACACATTTTTATTGACATTCGGATCCAAGCATAATTTATAATAACTGTGTGCTTCTTTTATGTTCTTGAGGCCCTTGATCTGGAAAAAAGTGTAGATTGCTGTAAAATGGGCAGAAGGCACCTAGATCATGGGACCGCCCCCATTCTTTTTCTTTAGTGCCAGGTGACGTTCAGCTCACTGTCAATTTCGTAGTTCAGCACTGATGTCACAGTTTGTTAGGAAGATCTTTTAAGTGCAGGGTAGGATTTACACTGCCTTTCGTTGCCTAGCACCATCTGGCTCCTCTGTGCTCCAAATTTCATCTAAAGGTGGTTGGAAGGAGATAGGGAGGGCTGAACAGCAAGTCTGATTCTCATGTTTTGATCAGTCAAGGATCCTCAATGAGGCAATAGAACAGTGTTATTGTTGCCTACCACCCTAGTCCCTGCCTTTCTCCCCCAACCTTTAGTCCATGAGCCTGTGAAGTTGGCAATAATGTTGTGAGATGAGAATGGGAAAGGGGAGCAGCAGCATTCTCTGATGTTCTCATACCTTGCTCGCTCAGTTCTGCTAGGATCATAAAGTTTCCTGGATCCTGACAGTGGTGAACGAGGCAGCATCTCTGCTCCCCATCCCATACATCTTTCTCACTGCACATGTTTTCAGTAGAAAATGGGGTACAGGTAATTTAATCCTTGTGTCTTATGTTTAGTTTCTCAGCTTGCCCTCTGTGTGTCTGGGTCGGGGGTGCACTTTTGCCTTCTATGCAGAAGTCCATCTGATTGCATGTGTGCCAGTCCTGTCACTGTAACGGAATTAGAAGTGTTATCTCTATGGCTTTGAAAGCCCAGATTTTTTCTCTGCTATGCTGGTTGAGACCAGTGTTGCATCTGCTGTTTGCAGTAATTCTCATTGTCCTGTTTTATATGTGCTATTTTTCTGTTCAGTTTTTTTGGAATAGTTCAATCTGTGCTATGCTACAGTATATTTAACTCCTGCATGGGCAAAGCTATGTTAAACTCCTTCTCTACAGTGTGAAGAAAATCAGAGAACATGGTCACTTTTTCTGTGTATATGGGATGTTTAGTGCTATGCATAGACCTTGCTAGGCACTAGGTCTCATGTTTTATGTCCTGTGTAAATGACACGCAGCATGCAGTGCCTGCATAGCTGTGACACTGATGTCGCTTGCCACAACCAAAGCAAGTCCTCCAACTCCTCGAAGTAACCACTGACACCAATTATATAGTTGTCTGTAAGGGGGTATTTTTCCTGTTTCTGACCACCAATGTAAAGGAGCAGTCCTCCTACCACTAATGTATGGTGACTTTTTCTTGCTTCCTCTAACTACCAATGCATGGAAGCATTTCTCTACTCGACACTACAATTGGACACTAACCCACTGCAATTGTGAATTGGGCACTACACTGACCACCAATGATTTGAAAACACTTTTCCACTGAGCACTAATGTAATTCAGGAATAAATACTGACCGGGGTACTTATACACACCGCTAATATAAACTGGAATGTTTTTGTACATTTGTATGAAAAGGGAGTAGTCTTTTCTATGCTACATACTCTGGGCTGCTCATTGCTGTAAGGTGTGCAGTGCATTGCATAGTCCTGTTCATTCCCTTATTATCCGTATTTGCTAGAGATGCACCGATACTAGTATTGGTATCAGTGCCGATACTGAATATTTGAGCGAGTACTCGTACTCTCCCAAATGCTCCGATACTTGCCTCCGATTCCGGAACTTCCGGTCAGAGGGAGATCTCTCCGAGGAAGCATGGAGCCAGCTTCGTTTGCATTCAGGACGCTGGGCGGTGGGTTATGATCCGCTCTCGGCTTCCTGATTGGCTACTAAGCCAGCTTCACTGGTTAGGAAGCCAGGCTCCCTACCAACAAATCAGGAAGCCAGGCGGCACATCATGACTCGCGTCCCAGCTTCCTGATTGGTCAGGAAGCCATGCTGCCTAGAAACAAGTGAAGCTGGCTTCCTAGCCAATCGGGAAGTGCGTCATGATGTGCCGCCCGGCTTCCTCATTGGTTAGGAAGCCATGCTGCCTAGAAACAAGTGAAGCTGGCTTCCTAGCCAATCACGAAGCCGGGAGCTGAGTCATGACATGCTGCCCAGCTTCCTGATTGGCTAGGAAGCCAGCTTCACTTGTTGCTAGGCAGCCTGGATTCCTGACCAATCAGGAAGCCGGACGGCACCTCATGACATCTTCCTGATTGGCCAAGAAGCCATGCAGCCTCAGGAAGTGAAGACGGTGTTCTTTCACTAAAAAGATTCCCTGGAATTAAAAATGGTACAGAAGAAGAGTGACTCTAATAAATGGCATGGAGGACCTCAGTTGTGTAGAAAAGTTAACTAAACTGAATGTATTCACCCTTGAGAAGATGCAAATAAAATGGAATGTAGTGACATTGTATAATTACATATTATTGTGCCATATAGAAAACTCTGTAGACAATTTTTTACTTTTAAGATCACCACAATAAAAATGGTGGCACAGGAACAGAGATCAAACTTCCACTATAACGTTGATCAAGAATGTTATCCATCTGCAAAATTATAGGATTTTTATTTTCTTTTTTACATCAACATTGGCAATTACTTTGTTGCTTCTAACAGTTGCAGCTAGTTAGAATATAATGGAATTGTTACATTATGTGTTTTAATGCATTATATAACATTGTTAGACTAATCATCAATGGAACTTGTGCTGTCAAACTGACAAGCGTGTCTTAGCTGCCACACCTGCTGAAATATGTCAAGGTAGGGTGGGGGGTGTATTGTAGGGTGTACTGAAGTCCTGCATGACCTACAAAGTGTGTCTGCTTATAAGCTATTACACTAGTGCTGCTGCATTATTATGCATTGTTCAGTGCATTTTTAGTGTTTACTGTGAAGAGTACGGGTGTTTTCTGCCAGCAAAAAGCATATTTCTTTAGAACCACGTTTATACACAAGTCCATGGATCCTTTTGTCTATGGTTTAATAACTATATATTTAGTGGCCTTTCATGCTTGTGCTAAGAAATTCAGTTTGCAGAAGCAGACTTTTAGACCCCATTGACACCTTGAATACCGTTCCTGTGCATTTTTTTCCAGCGTTTACCGTGTCTCGCCCATTGATTTCAATGGGTGCTGCATGCAACAAATGCGGGGAAGTAGCTCATGTAGCAGATTCTGCTACAGACGTACTGCTTTTTCCCCTCACGTGTTTGTGTGCGTTTTTAATGCGCATCCACCCGTGGGAAAAATGCACATTTTCCTGGCTGCGTTTGGGGTGCCATTAACAAGTAATGGCACCACATGTGGGACTTATGCTGTTTGACGCCTCCAGTGAACAGGTGTCAAAGCGCATACATTATGCGCGTTTGGTGTGGGTTTCATGGAATGCAAAGGTGTGAATGGGGACTTAATGTTATTTGTGTCTAGTCTCATAATTCATGTAGCCATGAGTAATGATCAAAGGAAGAATTTAGTTAAGTAATCTAAATTTACTATACAAGATCTTGGCAGGAAGTACGATAGTTTAATTGTGTCTCCATTTTTTCCATTGTGTCTTCTGTAAGCAATGTCATTTGACAATTCATCTTACGTAAGAAACATTTATTTGCAGCACTGTATGACTAAATACAGAGCTATGAATAATTAATATGTCTATAAGCATGTGAGTCATGCTAAATTAATGCACAGTCGGAGCCTCCCTTCTACTTTCAGCACGTCCTAAGCTGCTTGGAACACAGGGTTCCATAAACAAATATAGAGGTGTGCTACATAGAAAGTTGGCCTTTTGCTGTGTATTTGTAGGTATAATTTCTACTGAAGGTATCATTCTAAGAATTAGTGTATATTGTATAATACTAAAAGTATGGTTAGTTGAATTGTGTACAATAACAGTCAGGTTGTAGCTGAAAACTGAAACACTTGAGTTAAATAAATATATTTATATCAAACCGAAAGAGGAACTGAGGAGAAAGGTTATCTATTTTGACACAGTACCCAAAATAGAAAAAGCTAGTTAGCCATTAAGAGCTCATATCACGCCTATGTGTTTAAATGGTTGCTAATACTTGTGCACAGATTTCCCATTGTTTAACAGTGCTAGTTCAGATCTCTGCATTGGGCACAGCTGCAAAGGTGTAAAGCAAGCCTTTGGCTGACTTATTTAACAAATCTCTAACGTTTTGTTAGGAATGTAATTTTTGCTCAATGGAAACTATAATTCCATATTTGCAACATCAGATAAACCCTATTTGGGATAGCTTAAATGTAGTGGTCCGGCCTCTAGTATAAATCCTAATGGTCTTCCATGCTCTGTTTTGAGACCTAGAGATTCAATATTTTTACCAGGCATGAGTGAGAAATTAGTATTTATAACAGTACTTCAGCTTAATTCATGCAGTCTTAGTAGAAAAATTGTAGTATAAAAAGTCGAGCAGATCATAGCAAATAATTAAGATGGGCTGTGCAGAGTAGACTTAAAGGAGAATTACGAGGTGAGTGAAAAACACTTATCCCCATAATTCAAGCCGATCTGTGACACTGAAGCTGTCACAGTTCGGCAAACAAAAACCACTGATCGCTTAATTCCTGATCCTCTCCTTGTCAGTCACAGCTCCACCCCCCC